GGAAGCTGGTCAAATTCCTCTTTATTAAAGACTTTAGGGAACTCTTAGACAAAATCTAGTAGGCTAGGTTTATGTGTATTCTAGAGTAGAGTTGTTTTGAGAGGGTTTTAGACTGGTTCTATCTTAGACATCCTTCAGATTGACTCTATTCTGTCTTAACTAGAATATGTGTTCACATATTTATCCTAGTTAAAGAAGAACAACTGGTCACCTTTATTAAAACTGTTAGTAACATTGAAAGTATTCACATTTACTCAGAATAGTAGTACAAAATAACTATAAGACTCAGGACACTGATTGAATGTGAGTGTCTACTCTAACTAGTCAATAGTAGGGTTGTAAGCCTTAAACTATTCAAATCTGATGAAAACATCTGTCTTTCTAAGGTTAGTAACTCTAAACTCAATACTTTCCTTATAATCCTAAATAGTCATCTGTAGTTAGACAAACTCAGTAATCCAACCATTCTGATTTAGGGTTCTGTCTATATTGTATACTAGGATTAGAAGTAGAATGTGTTAAGTAAGGAGGTAGTATTCCTACACAAAGGCCTTATTAATGTATGAACTAGTACATTTACTGTCTACTAAAACTATTATTTAGATCTAGGGGGATTCTGAGAAGGGAGCTAAGAGGACAGGGACCTAGAGCTAGTGTTTAGAACATTCTCTAATAAATTGCTACTTGTTCTAAAGAGAATATACAGTTTGTACAACCTTGTTGTCTGAGAGAGTAAGTATATACACTAACATTTCCTTATTAACCTCTCTCTTTTAACAAGGACAGACTCATGTTCTCAACTGTAAACTCAGCTAAGACTATCCTTACTTAATATAAACAAACTACTGAGTAGTAAACAGGGCTAGATAGTATTCTAAACATTCTGAGTTCTTAGAATGTAGAAGTAGTAGGTTAGATTGTACAGATTTAGACTTGGATAAAGTACAAAGAGAAGAATCAAAAGAATCAGAAGAAATAAGAGAACTATCTACTTTTGTTTTTAACTTTTTCCTTTTTAATAAATAATTTTGTTGATTTACTTTTTCTACTTTTTCTACTTTTTCTGCTTTTCTTACTTTATTTACTTCTAATCCTACAGTGTCTATTGAATCAAAAGTGGCTGTTAAAAATTCTGAGTTATAACCCTTTAGTACTATATTTACTGTTAGGCCTCTACAAAATCCTAAGGTATATAGTTAGAGTCTAGGAGTTCTGAGGTGACTTCTAAATTTGTAAAAAAGGCTTCTTACTACAAATCCTACTTGTTACTCATTATTACTCTAATGACCTAACAAATATACTATTACTTCTGTAGACAGTCCTTAATTTAGTGTCCTAACTTTCTGTAGACAAAGTATACTCCTTACTTTTAAGCTTCTCTAATGTTTATTAGAACAGATTGATTGTAAATTATAAGCAGATTGATCTAAGGACTCAGAACTGTTAGAGTTAGATGTATGTGTAAGCATTCTGTACAGACTTGACACATCTGAGCTGTAGCTTAGTTGAAGGAAATAGTGTGTGTCTTCTAATCAGTATAAGTGATTAGTTCTAGTATTATTTTAAGAATCTTATTAACTAGTTCTAGGTAGAGAGCTTTTTCAAGCATTCTAATAAGGACATTATTAAACCTAAGTACAAATCCTACCTTCTAGGCTAGAATATTAAACTCCTGAAAGAAGGTATTAGTAGAATGTTTACTCTGTCACAGAGACACAAGCTTGTTCTACACATTATACTTCTTATTCAGATTAATAAAGGAAGTACAAAGCTGTCCTATAAATTCTGAATATGACTCATTATTCTGAAGTTGGATCAGACTTCCAATCTAATGTTCTTCAATCCAGTTCTGGGCCCAGGTGGCTACATTACCTTCCTTTATAAAGGAGAGGACAAATAAGGCACAATCAAGGTCTGAGGATAGATTAGTTAAAGTAGTAACTATGTATAGTTTGACTTAGTACTAGAAGTCCTTAAAGTACTGTCTATTAAAGTCTAAAGGGTAAGCTATATACACTTTCTTTCTGAAACAGGTTACAACTTCTGAAACAATTAGAACAGGTTCTGAGAGAGCTAAGAGTATGTAGTTAGTAAAGACCTCTTAGATAAAGGTCTACACATATTAAGCTAAGTCTACTCATAACTGCTAATCTAGTAGAACAGTAAGGGTAGCAGTTAGTGTAGGAGGGTTCATGTTTACACTATAAAGGAATCAACACTAAACTAAAAGGGGTAATGAATAGAAGAAGAGTAGTAAAAGTTTAAAAGGGTTTAGAAAGTTTAAAATTTAAAAATGTAAAAGGGTTAAGACAAAGAAAAGAGATTGACACAATAGTAAGTACTAATGTCTAAAACATAAGAGAGTTGTAGGGTAGTAATAGGTAGTCTTAATCTAATGTTAGTAACAGTATAGAGGGGACCTGAAGGCTCAGTAAGGGAACCCAGGCTACAACTATTCTACACAACAGAAATACAGAACACAAGTACTAGAACATAGTCAGAACTTGTAGAACAGACAGAGAATAAGAATGAGACAAGAGTAGAGTATATAGAGTAAGCTTAAGAGTACAGGACTACCTAGAGTAGATAAGATTAAGACTACAGGACTAGTCTGATCTTATACACTTATATATACTAAACTATACAAGAGTACTCAGAGAATATAAGCTACTAAGAATAATGAGCCACAAAGAATAAAAGAAAGGAAGATTAAAGATAAAGGTACAAAGAATGAAGGGATGAACAAAGGGTAAGAGACTATAGAATGAACAAAGAATGAAAGGGTGGTCAAAGGAATAGAATGATAAAGTAAGGAGGGGTAGTAGTAAGAGTCAGTATACATATAGTCTATAGACAGCACTCCTAAGGGACAGAAGTCCTGAGTTCTAGTACAGAAGAGTGTAGAACCTTCAGAACTGAAGGTACAAGAGTAGAGAACTGTAACAGTTTGCTTGATTCTACATATTGTAACTGGATGTTAGTCTACAGATGTAATAAATTGTTGTACAGTGTAGTACACTCAAGTTCATTAAAAATAGTCTAATACTATACTTACCTTTAGTAAAGCAGTTTGCTGAGAGGTAATAGTAAATACACCTAATTATAATGTAATACAAATATATCCAATTTGTCACCTAATAATGCTAGCAGGTTGACATCAACATGTCTCTAAACTACAGTTATAATGTTGTCAGCTAAAGTCTGATATCTTGCTCTGAACTTGTTACATAGCTTATTAGTAGCATTTTTGTTCATACATGTTACTTATCCAGCCAACAGTCTGTTGAACCAGGAGAATACTTGTAAAGCCAAACACAAATGAGTTGTTGCCTTAGAGATTCATCATATACAGAACATTGTTTGTGAGAATTACTAATGTTTAAGTCTTTTTTTCTTCAGAGTGACCTGGGTCCTTTATTGTATAATCTTTGTTAATTTTGTAGAGTAAGGTTAATAAGACAGTAACTAGTATTATGATCCCCATCTTAGAGCTGGAGTTGAAACCAGAAGTCAAGGAACACTCAATAGGATCAGCATAAATGATCAGAATTGTGAGATAGAGTACATGATTTGATAGGAGCTGTGAAATGAATTTCAAAACTTGCAAGGAGTAACAAGTCAGACTTTAGAGTCAAAATAAATAATAACAATAAAGGAAACCATGCTCGGCTCAATATATGTGTCACTTTCTTTTATATCTGCAGGTAAGCAAGGCGATATCTTGACTCTGTTACTATATCACTAATGAAAACTACAGAAAGTTGTCAGCTTTCCATTCTTTACTCTCAAAATTTCAAATTCATCGGTGGGTGGCTCGATCATTGCAGCATATCAGATCAAATACCTAATCCAGAAGTCAAACCGAGAAAGGACAGGATCTTGTAATTTCTCTTTTCTACAGACCAAAGTCAAATAAATAATAAATAAATGTATCAAGTCATTCGACGAGCTCACAGTCGGTGCTTAAGCCATAAGCTTATCAAGCTTCATGCACGTGTGTACTTCATAAGAGACTTTCTATTCGACATGATTGAGTTCGATGCTGTCTGGGAAGGACAGTCTATAAATTTCGTGGAGTAAAAGAGGGTGGTTCTTACCTCGGTCCAAAAGGTATTGCTATCTTTGTCTATCAGCAGGTTAGCAAGGCGTTGGCATGCACTCCATTGTTAGACGACTGACAAAAACCATAGGAAGTTGTCACTTTACCTTTCTACAAACTCGTAGTTTTATCGGAGCAAACCTCGATTACAGGCACCGCAGCACATCAGATCACTCTCCTAAACCAGCGGTGGACCGAGTGCAACACCAAATTGTCCTACTGCTTCCGCTGCAATACACGCCGGGACCTCAACCCACCGTTGCCTCGTCCCGCGATTCCCTCCGATTTCCAAGTGCGAACACTAGATCAATGAGGGTTATGAGTATGGATGATAATTGGTATTGCGTGAGAGAGGATCGGACATACCGCGCACCCACATTCCGCGGGCTACAAAGTCGTCAGAACCACTTTTCTTGTATGTATACAAAAGAGTGGGCGTATGCGGGCTAGTGCGTGAAGGCAAACAGATGAGAAGCAAAGTCAAGAGTACAAATGAGGCCAAAGCCAGTGGAGATCTACTGACGAGATGGGATGATTAGCTCAACCAGAAACGGAAAGAACGCGAATCAGGCACGTCATTCAATAGTGCATTACGTAACACAAATATGCTCGCCCGTTCGCAAGCGACAAATGTCCGCCCGCGCATCTTCAACTTCGACCTCGACGTGCTCCCCGTCGACGACGACAGCGTTGACCGCGTTGGCGAGATCTCTATCTTCAACATCAGGAACGACACCGACGGCAGAAGAGGCAAGGCAGTTATTGCAGCCGGCCCGACGACAGTAGATGGCCAACCGTCGATGATCAGCCCTGCATTTAATCGCTAGCTCAATTTACGTTGCTACACCCTGGCCTCTCCGTTCCATTCCTCTCTCTCCTCGTCGCTTCCCTCTCATCTTTTTCAACTCGCATTCACACTGACGTGAAGCTCGAGGCTGTTCCCTGTTCGACGCTCATCTTGCTCGCTGGATTCATTCATAAGTTCAAGCCCGTTTGTCAGGACCCTCTGTGTCCTTACGTTCTCCGCTCTAGTCGTCCTGCGCGCATTACGCCCTTTTTTCGTACTGTGTATTTGTCAAGAAAATGTTTCGTCGCAAGAAGTCGACTGCGGACGTTGCGCAACGCGGGACGGCCGCTATTAGCATCTCAGGACCGATGCCAATTGCAGCGCAGGCGCCGCATCCTCCTACCTCTTCGCATGCAGCACCTCTATACGAACGCTTTGCAACAGCGGCGAACGGAAATACCGGCTCGGGAGCACCTGGGCAAGCAAGAAGAACCGCGTCAAACGTCCGAACTCGACCTGTGGTGGCAGATGGCATTGACAGCCCCGCGAGGAGGCAGGAAATACGGCAAGAGCAGCAAAGATTAGGAAGGTCAGCAGGTGGATTGTCAAAAACGGATCGTTATGTAGGATTGGCCGTCAGTACGCCATCCTGCGAAGAAGTATCGCGTGTCACGCAGCATCAGCAGCATCAGCAGCATCAGCAGCTGTCGCCGCCCACGTCGCCGATTTTTCCTCCTGAAACCAAGACGGTACCAAATGCGAACCGAAAACCAATGCCGAACGTTCATACGCACGCGCTAGATGATCCCCCACCTCCTACCCGTCTGTTAAGCAAGAGCAATCGTGCATTACCGAAACCAGATTCGGAGATCAGACTTCACGGTCGCGCTTTGCCTCAGCAAGAAGCCACGAACGTTCGCGGAGGAATGAAAACGGAATGGGAAGAACCGAAATTATCAAGATTCCTAACCACTCCTTCGCCACCTCATGCGACCTTAACACTTCCGGCCTCTGAAACCCCGGCTTGCTCTATTGCTGAAACAAATGTAACTCGCACTGTACTTCGTCCCACAAAGGCAGTCCCTCCGCCCTCCTCATTCGCTCCTCCTTCGCCACTGTCACCTAATGTCGATGAATCGGGTGCACTTTCCGGGTCAACCACGACCAAGACTTCTCCGTCACTCGGCAATTCTCTCGAGACACGTGGTGTACAGCGAAGACCGAAATATTCACCTCTTGCGGCATTCGGACCCTCGGTTTCAACATCGACTTCCTCAGGTTCTTCATCTTCCATGCCACCTTCGCAAGATCCGACCCCTCCACCTCCACCACCCAAACCGAGAACGTCGGTAACATCACCTGTCGTTCCTACATTCACCATCGACTCAAGCGAATCTCATGACGTTCGTAGTTCACATTGTTAATTTTGAAATATATGCTCATTTCCAGACTAACTCCGTTGCTTGTATTTCATTAGACAAATGCGGAACCGAAACCCGATCCGGCGACGGACCGCCCATCGCTGGAGTCGTTCTCTTACTCAGATCGGCATGCTTCTGTCCAGGTTCGTGGGATCCCTTGTTCCTTTGTTTCCAAGTACTAAACACGAACATAACGTCATCATTAAACTATGGGTAAACCGATACAACAGCCACTCAAGACCGCTTCTGTCGAGCTACGTGTGGGTCTCGGTGTAGATGAGCTGCATAGCTTCCATTCCCCGTTGTTCGGCAAGAGTTTCGGTGTGCGGTCAAGTGAACAGCATGAGCACGGTGACGACATCAATCCAATCATCCGCGCTACTGGATACTCGCGGTCGATCGGCGAACCGAGTAGCATTAATGGGAGTTCGAAAGATGGGTCCGCTGTAATGCCCTTGAGCGGCCGATCTACTTACCGTAATATTGATGCCGATTCGAGCAGGGAAGACAAGACGGAGAGGCAGTATATAAAGACGAGAGGAAGGAAAGGAAGCGGCCGCATGGCAACTCAAGCTGTCCAACCGTCTCCCGCGAAGAGGGAGATGGAAATGCCTCCGACGCCGCCTTCGCCATCTGCACCTACATCTGCCATGCTTCATGATCCGGAAGTGAAGAAAGCAGAAAATGGACACGCGAGGAAGAGGTCGGCAAGTGTCTCAAGCACCGGAAGCATACGAAGAAAAGTAAACGTCTTTGCCAAACACTCCGATGAGGTATCCAACATTCCGAATATTCCTCTTGATCAGTTGCAGACACCGCGCGCTATGATGCCGAATCAAATCCCGACGCCGCCTACATCTGTTGATGGACATGGTAACGAACAATCTCAGCGGTTGACCATTGCGAGCGTTCTCGACCGAGATCAGGGTCTTGACTTGCCTTCACCCTCTCCTCTTGAAAGCAAACGCACCCGGAAAACGAGTTCCTCACGTCGTACCGGACCCGAACCACCGTCTACTTCACCATTGTCCGACACGACTACGACCGGGCGCGTGAGGCAAAGAGAATTGCATGCTGACATCATAGCAACAAGCGAAATGAACGGACGAATACCGCTCGCGCCTTCCATCGCTGCATCCTCCTCGTCTTCTAGTGCAGATGCTTCACTACACAGTAATGAAACGCGCAATAGGCCCACGCCAAGGTTACATACCCAGAACCTTCCCGCACCAGACTCTTACCCTCGTCATTTTAACGTGCACGACCAACAGCAACCACTCTCCCCACCTCAGTCTCCGCCACAACCTACCACTGCCGTGTTTTCGCCTTCACAATCCCGTTCTCGAGCGCGTAGCAAATCGCGATCACGTTCAAATAGACCTGATACGGCCTCGAGTGTACATAGTTCAAACTACGTACCTCCGTCTTCCGCGTCCTCTTCTGACGGTTTTGGGCGTTCATCCCCCTCTGCATTGTCTATTCTTAACCCATTTTCTTCAAGCTCAACCTCCGGTAGTAGCCATACACCTCGGAAGTTGACAAAGACGCCACCACACTCGGCCCGTTCGTTGACAGAAGGATCAACCTCGAGCATAGCCGAACAGTACCGACGGCAGATCACCGAATCGCCCGAACAAGCGGACATGCTTGTCGATGCCGATCCCTTCGCGAAGGGTGAGATCGTTCGCGCACTCACGGGTGAGAGTGGTCATTCTATTCCGGGAGGATCGATGACCCCGCCTATCCCACCATTCGCACACGCGAATGGTTCCGGAAGCTCTGGTCCATCGAGTCCTGCAAGTCCAAATGATTACTTCTCGGCTCGGGCTAACAGGAGAGGGGAACGCTTGGATGCACGGCCGCGTGATGCAGCTCAGGCTGTTGCGAATAGACCAGAGGACGAAAAGACACCACAACCTCTTGCAAATGAATCTACGCTCAATGAAAATGGGCAGCAGGAAGTTGAACCCGAGCAAGAACCGGAACCGGAACCAGAGCCTGCAGAGCCGACGTTCTACCCTCTCGAGAAGCACCTCATGAATGCCGAACTCCTCAGTGCTCTGCTTCCACATCTCGCGTTCCGAGACTGGTGTACGGTAACAGCGGTGAACGATGCAATGCGACGGACTGTTGAACATAAGCGTGAGCTGCGTGAAATCGTTTTGGAGCACTTCTTGCGTACTGTGGGCTATGCGAGGTGGAAGTGGTCGACGAAGGAGCATATAATGTTGACCTTCCGCGTAAGTACCTCGTAATTTTCTGTGTAAGTGAATATTGTCAATCTAACGTGCTTATTCTGTATAGGATCTGAATTCCTACATGCGCGGTGTCTCAATTCCAACATATCAATATGCCATTCAGTCAAAAACGTACCTTGACGCGAAACAGCAAGTGCAAAACAACCCAAGTGACGAATACCTCAAGTTCAACCTTAAGACTGCTTCTGCACAGAAAAGCTTACTTGCATCGTCATGTCGAGCGTTTACGCGTATCGTACTGCGTCTTCGCGCTCAAGCAGAGGCTATGGAACGAGATGCTGAAGGAGACGCAGCTGTTTATCAATTCACGCCACCTCAATCAACGACGTCGATAAACACAAGATCTCACACAAGTCATGCTCAAATGCCAGGACGTCGTTCAGTATCTCGTGTTCGGGCAGGTACGCCAAGTCGTCCCGCATCGCCTACTGCGTCATCAATGTCACATTCGCATCATGGGCACATGAGGAATGGCAGTACCACCAATGGCAACGGCAACGGTTACGCCAAAGTGAATAGATACGAACGTGCTGCGCTTGCAGGCTTAGGTCCTCGTTTCCGCTCTCCGTTGTTCCGGTTAGGCCATGCTCCGTGTTTGCGTGTATGCGTTCCCAGCCCGGAAGGTGAATGGCTATCCGATGAGAGCGTACTGGAATGCGAGAAAGAGTTGAAACGGGCGGGTGTTGTACCACTGTTGCGAGTTGGCGATGTCGTGTGGGATACAGCAGTTGGGGATGAAGGCAACCTCGGTAGGTTGGTTTGGGATGGGAACTATCTCATTGTAAGATGTCTCTCACCTTCACAACGAAGTCACGTGCTAAACTAGTTTCTTTTTGCATTCAGGACTTGGACTACACGTACTCGAAAGTGGGTGAAGTGCCGCAATACCTTCACACGCTGTCTTTCCCTCCTTCGTATTTCCATCGCGTTATCCGGACACCTGGCAATCCAATCTGTCATATTGATATATCGCCGTGGGGTGAAGAGATCGCCGCCAACTTGCAACTCTTACAGGATCGTATCCAAACCGAGACGTGTGTTACTCTTTTTCTCGCTTTCTAATCTTGTCCCTTGAAGCTAATTGTGACATCACACGATAACATAGTCCCCAGGGTGGACGGCACACCGTCGTACGCTGGATCCACCGCTCCAAGTTCCGCATCCGGCCCAACCCATACACGAACGTGTCGATTCCGATCCCAGGAACCAGTCTCTCAGTCGATCCGGGGTGGTACGGGACGATCATAATCGAGATTGAGGGCACGAATGAGGGACTTGCGGATCTACAGCAGAGATGCCGATCGGGTTTCCCTCCGCGTGCGGTTGGTGCGGTTGAGAATGGAGATGCGTTGAAATCGAAGCAGGCGAGTAAAGTCTTTAGGATTCTAAGGGAGCGGAGGTACGTTTTTAATTTCATGTCGCTGTTGCATATCTCTTGTGTTCTAATGTGTTTCTCAATAGCCGACCGGGAGAAATATGGCTCCGTGCCGTTCGTGAAAAAGAGCGTCTGCTCTAGATTCTTCTCTACTCGCTGTCCGTATTTTGGAACTTTCTCGTTTTTCACGTCGTCTAGGATTCAACTCTTATTTCATACTTTACCCATCTTCTACCTGACACTGTCATATCTGCCGTCGACGTCTTAACTCCTTCACTTACCTTTACCCGTTCACTATTTGGCTGCGATACCGTCGAATCGTTTAAACTCCTGCTTTCGTTTCGGAAGACTGCTTACTGCTTACTGCTTATTCATAACCGTCATTACTTACCCGTGAACTCTGATGTTGTCTCTGTTTGATGTTGTATGGTTCATGTTCGACGTGGATATTCGCTGCCTTTTCGTACGAATTGTCCGACGCTTTTTCTTCTTGGTCTTGTTATTCCCGGACTAATGATGTTGTAAAAGGATAGTCGATGCCTGTTATGCTGAATGCGAGTTAAATTGGTATTTGATGCGTGCATGTTTGTGGAGTAAGAACTTGTGCGCGAGATGGTTGGTCTTGACGAGCTTCGAGTGACTACTTTGTCAATTATTGACCTGGGAAAGTCGGTGTTTGTGGGTCTTTTCCAGGATGTATTCACCTTTCGTTACCCGGCCATTTTTCAAATTCAAGTAGCAGGGCATTGATTTAATGCATGGTACAGTTGTAGAAAGAGATATAAGCAAAGACCAGACAATCCGGTTGTTCTGAATCTATAAAGCTAGGGGTCACCTTCCTGGTCATTGAACATCTTCGGTGCCAAATTCCATGCATAATGAGGAAATACCTGTGTATAAGCATAGAATTGGCTGTCCGATTCAGTGCTCAAGTCGCCAGAACATGACGCCAAGCATATAGATATATGCACACGCAGGCATGCCATACAGGCCAAAGTAAGAAACCGAGTCTGGGAAGATGAGAGGGATAGGGCATATGGTGGACTAGTGGAGTGAACCTTTCAGATGTTAAGCAGCTGATACACACAGTTATGCATGAAAAATTGCATGAGTAATGTGATTGGAATGAGTACTCACGTCAGGCATAGCCAGACAAGGTTACCTAGAGTCCAGACTCTGTAGCTGCACCTGCCATTCCAGCTTTTGTTATGATTTGGTTGGACCACATACTATTCCAATACGAATTCGCGTCAGCAACAGAGATATCTCAGGACGTTGGCGTTGCCTCGAAAGTACTGTCAAAGGTGAGGTGCTAGCCGTGCAATAAATGATAGAGAATCATGTTAAGTAGCAAGAGTAACTCTGTGCAGCATGCATTTATGTGGCAGTTTTATGGCTGTCCCTATTGCAATCTTTGAAGAGCACGCAAGAGAGAGGAGAGGAGATGGTAGTCTGAGTCAAAGTTTCTTCCAGCCACGGTCTCTTCCTCTGTCTCAGGCACCGAATATGGCAGCAATGTTCATAGTTTCCCACGGGTACAACTGATATTTGAAGGATCATAAATGAAATAAACATTCATCGCGAAAAGGTCAGAGCACGCAGCCTTTCCAAAACATCCTCTACAAACATTACACTCTGGTTTTTTACCACTACATCTTTTGTCCCATAAGTTTTGCCTAAGCGTTCTTCGTATGTTGTCCCACCACTCCCAAACAACAGACAATCAACCACAACGTTCCTAAATGTCTCGCCCATTGAAACTGCCAGCTCAGATCTTGCAAACATGACAAGTGCATCTCGTCGAGCCCAGCTTTTGTCCTGATCTGTTGATAATCCGAGTTCCTGTATTCTTTTGTTGAAACGATCGCCCTGTAAGGCAAGTACCCCTTCATCTCCAACGAAACCTCCTGACTCTCCGGCTCCTGTATCCCACTTGAATAAAGACTTCCAGATCCCAACTTCTAAGAGACAGACTCCGAGACTGTAGATGTCATCGCGCATTTCGTATTTCTGTCGAGTTGTGGATGTTACGTGTCGTGGGTGTTGATACAATGATTCGAATAGCATTGCCCCTCTGTATGAGCGCAATTGGGATGGCCCATCCTCTGTACGTGCCTGGTCAAATGCTACAAGGTACGGTGTGCCCAGCCTGTATGGAAATTTCTCGTATTCAGCACCACCTATGGATTCCGTGACAATAATCGAATCGGGACGAATGTTTTTATGGATGAGGTCGAGCGAGTGGACAATTAATACTGACGTTGCTAATTGTATAGAGAAGTCAAGGCGTGTGTTCAGAGGATGCATTGGCTTGCAGTCGAGGAGAAGATTCCTTAACGTTTTCGGCGCACCAGCTTCAGGAGGAAGTCGGAAGACGAGGTATTGTGTCGTCTGTTCCAATAGGTCAATATATCCACAACATGGTAGGATTCCAACGCTTGCAGACTGCTTATGCCCTCCACTGCCCTCCTTTTCAGAGAAAAGCTTGTAGATTTTGTCTGTATCGTTGCGTGCTTCGTCATACAGATCGATGCGAAGGCCCAGGTCACGAGGATCGAGGATACACCCTGCGTACGGCCCATCTTCGAGACGTTGGATAGGGCAATTGTGAATGGCATCTATGCCAGAAGCATATTGAATCTGGCTTGGGTCAATAATATTTGGTGCAATATTTGACTGTACCCTATTTCGCGCCCGAACAACAAATCTCATATCCATAGCACGACTATTGGACCAATTTTCTGGCAGTCGTTTCTGCTCGTCGAAGCGAACCAAGTGTTGTAGTGGTAGTATCATTAAAATACTGCTGAGGCTGCTTATCCATCGTTCCATCCGATCCGAGGCCTCGTCAATTTCTATACGCCCGAGAACAAGATAATTTATGTCAACAGCGAGCTTTGCAATCGGGCGTTTGTTCTTCTTTTCGCCCTTCTGACTGTTCCGGAACCTCTCATTTATAGAGTATAGCAGATCCATCATCCGTTGCCTTCGAGGTACCGACTTTTTCTCCAATTCTTCTTTCGAGCCCGAGCCAGTCTGAATTCCGAGTTTCACGCTCCATTCCTCGACGACCCTCGCTGCCGCACAATGTGCTTCGACTGCATGTGTAAATGCGTCGGACATCAACCGATAGGACTTGTTGTCTATGTCTCCGAGCTTATCTGTGTCAACGAGGCAAGCATAATACTCCAGCACCTCTGAGATGAATACTGCACGCTTGACAGATTCCTTGTGGTCCCGATCCAAATTGTGGTAGCTCTGTAAGACACGTGCTGCGTCAACAAATCCTTTGACAGTAGAAGGGATACCGAGAATTAGACCAGCAACATCAGTCATAGTCCTCAGACGTCTGTATACTGGGGTGAGGAGATGCAAAGAGATGAACAGACAGACAGATTTTCCACACCAACAAGGTACATGAGCTGCGTGAGAGATTTGAGCTGTCAATTATTTTGATCGGCGTTGATTTACTGTCGCCCATGTGTACATACAAGGATCCACCTGGTCTTACAGTTACACGGATGTTATTAACACGAAAAATGTCAATTATCATTTTTTTTCTTAGTGATTATACTACAAATATAGTGAACTAGCAAAGCTGAGCAGCAGTGACTATCTGAAACCTGTAGTAATGGATAAATGAATGTGCTATTTTAAGCAGTTAAATGTGTCTCACCTAATGTATTCCGGATCGCTAGGAAGCCTTCACGCGAAATCCATCCAACATCTTTGATGAAGTGTTTCAATCTTCCATCCGTTGCAGGCTTCAGTCTCCAAGTAAGGGTGTACTTCCGTTGACGAGAGATAATGTTTTCGAATAATTCCATGGCTTCATCTATGGTTGGACGCGATTTCGGGTCCTTACGAGTCATAGCATCCACCAAAGGCGTGAGGAAACCGAGGTTTGTGTATTTCTAAAAAAAAGAAGAAAAAAAAGAGAAACCGAGCAGTCAGTATGACAGTGCATATTCCTTGATGATACAAGTTACCTTCAAAAACTGTTTGCAATACAAATTTCCCAAAATGAAAACATCGACTGCAAACGGGTCATAAGGAACGGTTCTTGACAACTCTGGAACATCCCGGTCTTGTCCATTTACACCAGTGACGAGGCGTGTATTGTCTTGAGGATTAAAATCTGATGAGATTCCAAAGTCCGTGAAGTAGTATTTAACATGAGACACGTCTCGGCGGCGCTGAGGATTGGCAGGCCCTAATCCATCCAACGTGTACATTGCAAACGTGGGATGGAATCCGTTTGGATAAATATTTGTACCATCCATCATAATATTAAGGTACGAGCAGTCCCTTGAGAGTGCATCTCAGACCAGCACCGAGCAGTCAGGAAAAGGACGCACCTGTGAGCAACGTTTTGGCTATGAAGATATGAAATACCCTATATAAAGGATCAGCTAATCACTGTTAAAAATACCGACAGCTCACCTCAAGAGTCTGGCGCATGAAATCCAACACTTCATCAACTGAGAAGAATGGTGGCCTGTCGAAACGTATCAGCAAAGGCATGACAAGATATCCGTCTCTGCCATCGAGAAAGAAATCAAGGATTGGGACGCAGTGATTTTGTGGATCCCTAAGCTTCTCTTCAGAACCGAGCATCCTTGATAGCCTCTGCTCAAAACCGTCTCCGCGCACGATCTTTAGGAAAACACGTCGACCATCGCTTTGCCGAATTGCATCGATCACATTACTACGCTACAAAGTCAATCAGCATGTTATTAGATCAATTAGGTGAATGAAATGTACTGCATGCTGGTACGAGTCTTCTGAGAAGACTGCATGTTTACGATTTCCTGGTTTCTTCCATGACGGAGTCCATTCACGACGAAACCTTGGTCGAAGAATGTATCCATGACTTTCCAGCATATCTTGCCTGTCTCTCCATTTAATTTCAGGTTCTATCAGCACGCTGCGCGGGTCAGCAACGTTTGAAGGCAGAGACTTATGATGTCCATTAGAATTTGCAGTAGCACTTGACTCAGTAGGATGGGAGGTCATGAAGAGAAACAACGATAGGATGTGGTCACACACGCATCAAGGACACGCGTCACACGTAACATGCACGTAAATAGTAGTTGTTGTCATTCCCCATCGCAACAGTCGAGTGCCGCGCTTGCGTTATAGAATATTAATGGCAGAAACAATAAGCTATACCATCTGCAGCATTATAAAGCACACACATATAAAATGCGCACAACAGGCTTGCTACAGTTCCCATTTGTCTTCTCTTCCTTCATCGATAAACTAACTCTCAACAATGTTCAAAAGAACGCTTAACAAAAAGGTAACCTGAAACGCAAATACCTTCAAATATACCGACTGTATTAACTTCTCTTATTCCAGGTGGAAGAGGCTACTTCAAAACTGAGCGAGCTTGACAGTACTCTTGAAGATGAGAAAGGTCTGACACTTGATGAAAATCCCACTACGGAAGATCCCATCACAGTTTACATTCGTCACGAACGAAATTTGTGAGTCATTTACTTGTCCAGCTTTGTACAAGAAATCTTACGCTTATGAAAGGATTGGCGATGATTTGAAAACTGTTACAGAGGAGACAAGGAAGGCTGGATATTTCAAGCGGCAGAACAAGGATGAAGTCATCTTGCAAACGCTTCATCAATTGATTGATCGCATTGACTTGTTGAGGCAAACTGTCACTGTTGAGTCCGGATTTCGCTCATAAAATATAACTTCTAACTAGATGCAACAACACAGCAAACAACGCTTTCTAGACAAGACCTTGGTATAGTTGCAGAATTAGCATTCAAAGAAGATCCAAGGAAGAGCGAGTGTCTTTCAGAATTGCTCTGTAGAAGCCCAGTGTGGGTAACTGTTAATAGTGAGTGTATGGCACAACTGAATAATACATGTATGCTCACATGTGAAGATTGGGAATCCTTGAGGACTAAGTTCACTGTCTGTGAAAAGCTGAGTTTGGACGAGTCTCAGCTGATTCATTGGTGGCATGGAAATGGCAGCATCGAAGAAGGTCTGAATGTGTTATTTCTGTCTGAATCGAGCCCTGACAGCAGCTGCATAGTTTCTTCAGTTCTGGATAACATGTCCAACTTGGCCCGGAAAATCGTATTACTGAGAGAGAAGGGCGAAAGTCTGGATGTATGTACAAACGTAACTGTCTGCATTCAATGCTTACCATCTTTTCCAGTCACATACAACGCCAGATCTAGGTTCCTTTCAGATGCTAATTGAGAACTTGACGACTATAACAACAGACCTTGTTCAACTTCTTATCAAATTTCCCGATCATGAGCATGAGCTAGTTGACATCTTCATTCTTCTTGTTTTGTATGCCACTTAGTTTTCTACTCTGCCATAATGCTGAATCATTTGCAGCACCACATTTACGATGACTTCCATTGTCTCAAAGGATCCTGAAGACATTGCAGCAAGTAACACTATTCTCAAGGAACTTGTGACAAAACTGGAGGATTTGTGTGCTGTGAGTAGGCAACACAGTTATTTCTATATAATGCTAAGTCTTTTCATTTAAATGAGACTATTGGAGGACGTCTAGGAGCACAACCATACATCGATGCTGCTAACAATGCCAACATGAACTCGTCAAGTGAGTAGGTATTCTGTACTGACATGGATTAGCAATTCTAATATTATGTCCTGTAGCAAAGCCAAACTTTTCAACACTTGCTTCATCTGTTGACGAGTTTGAGCTGGATAAAGCCAATGCACTCATTACAACTGGCCTAGTTCCGAACCGCAGCAGGCTACAGAAAATGATGTCAAAATTTACAGATAAATTACGAGTGACAACGTTTCAAACCTTGAGCAATGTGGAGCAGAAGCCATTTATTCCAACAAGGAGATTCAGTATACAAGGTAAAAATAATCCTGTAATAATCCTGTAAAGGTCTTTAAGATAACTTTATTTGCACAGATTTGGTCGACATGAAGCTCCAGAAAATTGACTTGAACTTTTCGAAATCCAAGTATCTTGGTACTGGCTCGTATGGTGAGATTTATTCCTATGAAACAAAAGATGGTTTGAAACAGGCAAGTGAACTCGGTAGTTTCAGTTCATTTTGACTGACGAAATTGCAGTATGCTGTCAAGAAACCTCTCTGCAAGTATTCGAGCTCTAATCAACGAACTTGGAACGTGAGTGAACCAGTATATTGTTTCTTCTTCAGTTCTCACTCAGTCTTTAGCGGCTTGTTCGTGAAGCAGAAAATTGGTCTAAACTCCAACATATCAATATTTGCCGTCTCCACGGCTACTGCGAAATACCTGGCTATGTGTTCCCAGGACTTGTCATGGATGAATGTATTGATAGTATTGATAAGTACCTGAAGAGAGACGATATTCCAGTTGTTAAAAAAGCAGATCGGTTCTTACTTGTGAGTAACTTAGCTTCTTGTGTCGACTCTATGGTTAAAAAAATTCTAACTCAACTAGTTGGCGGGCATAGCATCAGGCCTTAGTTACAGTGTGTCCAAAATTGAATATATTGTGTTTCTATCTCTAATGGCCTTAAAGTGCACGAACTTAATATTGCTCATGGAGACCTAAGAGCGGTGTGTACAATCTCACTTCTTGTAGAAATTTGTTGGCTCAAATGTTGTTTGCACAATCAAGGCAAATGTACTCATTCGACAACGACCGTCCGGCAAAGGTGTTTTTGCAGTGCTTGCCGACTTTGGAGTTACAGATATGACTGTTGAGATTGGAGAGAGAATTGCTCAAAATAGCACAGGTCAGAAGACAAACGAAGGATGGTTGGCCCCCGAGTACTTTGCAGGAAAAAGTGGTGTTGTTGCAATATCCAAGCCAGCCGATGTCTACGCTTTTGGCTGTGTCTTTCTGGAGGTACGATATTATTCTATTCTTGATAAGTAGTTCTGAGACACTTTTGGGGCAGGTTGGTTATGAGAAGGACCCGTATGCTTATTGCCGCGACAATAAACAACTTCGTGATTATTCAATCGCAAAGCTGAAGAAAGCGAAAATATTACCTGCTCAGGCAAGCGATGTCACGGAGGCACACTACTATTTTATTGAAAGTGCATGCTCCTTTGACCCAAACGACAGGCCGACGTCTAGGGAAATAATCCAAAAAATGAAGGAATATGCTGTACAGGCAGTGCAGTCCAGTAGATAGATAGAAATATTGTATCCTTACTATTTGTTTAATGCTACCTGCTCTGTTGTGACACTACAATTAACTCGAGCAAACTAGGACCCGGTTAAAATTACCAATGATGAGCTTACGTCATTGCCCCATTGTAAATACTTCGTCGTCTTTGTTTTCCTTTCGCTGTGTACCTTTATTTCTTCTTTCTCAACCTTGCCTACTGTCTCTTGATATTACATACTACTAGGGCGACAGATTAAATCCAATGGAACTGTGCATTTGCAATTGTGCCAAGGGGACAACGCAGTATATGTTTGGTCTCATTGTTCGTAGGACAGGCTACCTTCTGCTTCGTTTCTATGGGCCAGAAAGCTTCGGTGCTAGATGAGCACAATAGCCAGGCTTAATCAAATACAAACTTACCCGCATCCTCGTAGGGCCATTTAAGTGGTATAAAATAGGTATTTAGGACTCATCGTTTCAGCCAAAAGTCAATTGATTCGCCACCATCCAATGCTTCCTGATACGCTTCGCAACAGTGCCATCCAAAGTAAATCTGATTTCTTGCTCATTTTCTCAGACTTAACAAATGATTTCAATAGTCCTTGAAGACGCTGGTCTTCCTCAATTCAATGAAGCAGACTTCACCAAGTGTAATATACCGATTGCTCGTGGAGGAGGACGTTCTCGGCTGGTGTCTGGGACATTGCAGACAGTAGATGGACATTCATCTGTGAGTCTAGTGATTGACTTAGTGAAACTGTCTAATAGGAAGTGTAGCAGGTTGTTATTAAAGTGCTACGTGCTAGTTATGCATATACAAAGCGAGTGAAAAATGTAGACGAGTACATTACAAAGCTTCTTGCAGTATGTCTATTTAGATATATGCTTGGCTTTCCTTGTGAGTATACAACTAAAATTGTGTTGGTTGGACAGTACTTTGAGCGAGAAGTTGACATCTGGAAGCGTGCTAGTGGGCATTGCAACGTGGTTCGTCTTATGGGGTTTTTCCCTAGCTTTGAAGGAGAGATGTTCCCTGCGTTGGTTCTCCCCAAATATGAGCTTGGTAGTCTGCGTTCCATTGCATCAGCTGTTATTCAGATCTTTGGAAAACAAGACAAACTGATTTTAGTGAGCAACTAGATTATTTCATGGTTATTTGTATCTTATGTTCCCTCTAGCTTCGTGACGTTGCACAAGGCCTTGCATACTGTATGACTCGGTTCTGCACTTGTTGTTATTTTCTTTCGTATTCACATATCCTCTAGTGCACAGCAGCAACATTATCCATAGGGATATTAAAGGCGTAAGCAGCCCTGACTTCATGATTCTTTCAAGCTGCTCAGTGTGTGTTTCAGGCAAACATTCTGGTTACTCATGACGAACGGATCATTGCCTGTATAAATGATTTCGGGTCTGCAAAGCTTATGCATCCGATCCTTGATCGGATTGCCAACTCGACACAGACGAACTCATTGAGGTGGTCACCACCAGAATTCGTAAATAATGTTGAGGGATATAGCTATTCAAGGCCAACACCTGCCAGCGATATGTGGTCGTTTGGATGCTTGTTCCTTGAGGTATGTTTCTTAACTGGCTACTAATACTTCTCAAGCTGGACAGTATTGTTAGGTGTTTACAGGAGTCGATCCATGGAAAGGTTCCTTTGAGGTTGAAGAAGAGCTCGAGCAAAACAGGCATCCCCCAATCCCAAGTGACGTGGACATAGCATCTGAATACGTTGAGTTTATGCTCATGTGTTGGAAAACTCAACCCCAGGAGCGCATTTCCGCAGAAAGAGCTGTGGAGCTAATAGATGACTTCATCAAACGTCTGAGTTAATTGTGAACCAAAGTTGTGCTCAGAATGTATTCTATGGTTAACGTTCTACCACACCATAACTTTTGAAGCTATCATATACATAGTTTATTTATTTGTACCCCATCTTCAGACTGTATGACAGATGCACACAGATTTCTCTTGGTCCGATTTCTCAGTTGAGAAGTACAAAAGTAATCACAGGCATGGGTCAGCCAGAGTATAGAAATCAAGGTTGGTTGGAATGTTAAGACTTGTTCGAACCAAGCAGGGTGCGAGATCCCGGGCATTGTGGATCCCAAGTTCAAGTACGTAGTTGTATCGTATTTGATATTCGCGGAATCTTCAAGACCCTCGCTAGAGCCAGGATACTGGTCACAAGACGAAAGCGTGTTATTGTACAGGATACCTTATCGAAGCTGTGCACTCTTAATTTGTCGCAAAACAATTTGTATCCATAAATGTGAGGCTGATTTAACCTGGGCCTCATTCCAACGTGCTCGAAATAAAGACATGGGAAATATACAACGGTCCTAGCTCAGACAAGGCGGTGTTGTTTTTTCGCCCTAAGTATTTGAATTTTGGCCAAAGAGCAATTGCAATTCCTACCAAGTCACCTCGGCTAAGCAAAAATTTCTATCTACTTCCGTGCAGAAAGACGGGGAGACTCCAGATACATGGAAGCGGTATCAATTGGACAACGTGGACTCGTCACGGTAGCGACCCGAGAAATCAATTTGGCCTTACCAACTTCGTCAAACACAATAGTAAACGGTCAGGCCTTCACTCATGCGAAGCTCGTAGCGTGTCCTATCAATTCATATGCCCGCGGAAGACCTGACCCTTGAAGTTCATTCTTTTTCGCCCGATCAACTGCGAGTAGCCGTTTCTATGTGCCAAATATAGAAATATATGAACATGTGGACGCCTGTTGTACCTCATATTCGCCGATCAACATTTGGATCCGCATCTCGATCAACGGCCTTGTGGGGGATTCGGACAACCAAAGATTTCTACATCAAATTACTTGGACGTAAGAAAGAAGTAGATTGTGTACCCTAGACACCATGTGATGGCCATTATTGGACAGCATGGGTCCTTATCGGTCCACTCTTTGTTTTACTTGACACAGAGCAACGCTTGTGTAAACAGTAGGCATGACGAAGGCATTTTTCATTCAACCAATATTGGTTTGTCTTTCACAATTGTAAGGAAACTCTGCAGTGCTCGAGTGTTCTTAGTGTAGCTTGCGCTCCAAAATAGGATGAACAAAGGGAATATCCAAGAGACCATCCCAACACCCGGTTATTTCAAATGCCAAAAAAGCTCTGATCTGTCTTGCTTTCCAACAATATATTCGATATGAGACAACGCTTTGTAGTGCTTGGCCGTGAGTTAGGATCACGATGTGTCATTGAACCTACAAGTAGCTCAGCTTCAAAGAACTTAACATTCGTGTATTCCTGTAATTGGCGCATCATCTGACATACATAAAAAACATCAGGCTATAAAAACACTGACAATCGAGATGAAGGATGCTATAACGAGACTCGACAAATGGACATCTCACCTAACGCAACTTCTGACATCTCCTGTCTTGAAGTCGCGGGTGAAAACGACGGACTCGGGCGACAATCATAGGAATATGCAGAATCCGAAATTACGGTCATTACCATCGATGCTACAGAGGTAGAGTCTGCCTTCGACATCGACTCAAGTCATAACTCCGGGGTTTATTGGCCACAATATAGCGACTATGCTGGCTGCTTTGTCGACTTGCGTGATATCACGACACGGCACCACTTATCGGAATCGAGGAGGAACACCATTATCTATTGCACATCCATCGGCATTTTGCCAAGCATCGTCGGATAGCGATCACCACACTCGAACTACCGTCGGCTTCCTTCCAGGGCTTGGGTACGCTATTGCGAGCACTGGGAGGCTGCCTTTTTTTTCCTTTTTCAATCCGGAACGGGCATTCCCACAGCTTGACGATCGGGCCCCTGATTTAAAGCGAGTCATAAAAGAGCCAGAAGTTGTCAAATACCACTTCAAGGAACCCCCGCTTGTCAGTAAGACCGCTGTAGTAAGAAAAGAACGGGTAGCTGTGAAAACTCCGTCGCTCTGTTGATCGACGCCAGTGTGGAAATAAAAAACAACGGAGGAATCATTCACTAGTGGGCTCTGGAGTCGTTACGCATGAAAATAACACTGATCATGTCTTCGGAACGTAATTGAGGGGCTAAAAGCAGGTTATTCAGGCGACTATCTCAGTAATCCAAAGATAATAAAACATACGAAGTTTAAGCGGTTGTCAGTGGCGTTCCGGAAGAACCTCGCTCTCTTTGGCTCTGTCCTGGCACTTCACCTCTGTCCGAGCGGGTGTAAGTGTATCAGAGAGACAATGCGATTCATGAAGTGTCAACGTACCAAGGAGAGTACTTCGGGTTTCAAATCTTCAAAACGTCAGTCGCGGCAGTGCCTTGTTCCCAGCTATCATGGTTGTGCAATTTTGTGTCAGGAGCTGCTTCGTGTAAAAAAAATAGAGGATAGAAACGCACCTTGTCAAAATGGATCCAAACATAGCGCCTGTAATTGCATCGGCAAAAAGTGACTTTGATTTGAAGAGGCCAACTCGAGCTGATAGTTACTCGAATACCCGCAACGGAGGGGGCGCACTGGCAGTGATTGGACATAATGTTGTTGATAAGAGAGCAGGTGGCATTGTGGGATAGGAAAAGCGATGGGAAAGATGAAAACTATCGAGTTCAAGGGCCATTGCAGCAGCAGCTAGTTCCACTTCACGCAATGGAGTGAAAAAGATCATTTAGCACAATTAAGGGATGGAAGAGGGAAAGGTGTGTACTACCTGAGGCAATTCTGGAAATAGATCCCAGAGATCATTTGAGGGCTGGAGGAAGGCAAAGTTGCGAGCATCTATTGTGGACACCAGTGCCCATCCTGTCGCGGCGTACATTTCATTGTCACGCGTGAAACCCTAAGCAGTAAGCTTGCTTTCAGCAATGATGCACGACTGCTAATAGAAATACATTAGACGAACAGAAACGAACCTGGCCAACGATGTTGAAGGAAAGACGATGCAAATTCCAGTGAGCATCACGGAACATGCTGTCAATGTCATGTGACATTCGAAGCACCCGAATTGTCCGTGTTCTACGAACTTCTACTTCGACCAGGGGACAAATTGCAAATCTGACGAGGCTATACCGGCCGTATAAAGGGCTCCTTGTTGTTTCTGCGCGGAAGAGAAGCCGGGTCTAAACACATGGAAGCAGTAACGAGACTAACGACTGGACAACGTGGAAGCATAACGGTGATAGCGACTTCCCAATTTCGTCGGTTACCAAATAATATATCACCAGTACTAAGAAACAATAAAACCATGCCAACGCCCTTATCCATGCAAAACACATAATACGTCTGGTCGATGCATGTGCATGCAGAACCTAGAGATCTGTCCCTTGACGGTCGTGACGGTTTTTTATCCTCCTTTTGTCCGATCGACTGCATGTATCCAATCTTTTTCCCTTAACCATCATGTCTACCCGTGGGAATTTCGAGTTCTCTACCTCTGCTCAACGTTTCGGATGCGTACTGAGCATTCTTGATGCACATACAGTCGAAATTGTCTTATTGCATAATGTTGGGAGAGAGTAAAACCCAATGCATTATACAAATTATGCATCATGACAATACATTTTGGCTGAGAACTTGACTTTTGTTCTGACCAGAAGCTATGCATTATACAATATATGCATTGTGATGATATGCAATAAGACAATTTTGACTGTATCGCCCTCTGTCGGTTCTTGGCCCAACAAACCCTCCTTGGCCAGTTCTGCTTGGCTACCAACCCATGCTGTCGACGAATTCGTCGACGCAAACCTACTGATACTCACACCCGAGCTCTCCTAGTGGTTGAGCCACCCCAACTGAATGAGTCAACGCTCCATCTCATGATGTTGAGCTCCCGCCCGCAGTTTCTCCTCCACTGTCCCAGACCGACATGTACGTCGACAACGATGTACCCCCTATGGTCAAGGACCCAGTCGACACGACTCCGCCTCAAGGCGTCGAGCCTCACCCCTAACACGAGGTGCCAGAAGAAGTCGACTCTTCACATCACTTCACACTTCACAACACCAGGCCTGACCTGGACGAGATCCTCGGCCAGACCTCGGACCTCCTTTTCGGCCGTGGCCACACTGCCACACGCATCTCCCAAATCGCGGGCTTTCGGACACTGATTACGCCCATTACGTCTTCAACCACCATGGCCTTTCGCCATCCGAGTCAAAACGCCTATACAAGGTGTGCGGTCTTAAATCCAGTATCCGTGGGACCTTCCAGTGCTCTTACCCCTCCTGCACCTCTGTGTATACTAGGAGGGCTGATTTGAGCACCCATAAAAAACTCAAGTATTAGTGTACATGTACCACTCTTGCCCTCCCCTCTTCACACCATGGCCTCTTTTCTATTTAGGTTTTAATTTTTTTCCTACATAGTTACTACCATTAGTTGCTGTAAAATTTTCCGCACAAATAAAGTATCCAATGCATTGCCTGATATGGAAATATGGGAACTTGTGGACCTTTGTTGGGTCTCGTGTTGCCGATCAACATTGTCCTTAAGAGGAAATCGACGATCGTGCTTGTTTGAGTTCCAAAACACTGATGTTTGTGTATATTTATATTCTTGACGACGGCCCTGTGAGAAATCGCTCTGACTAAAAATTCTGCCTTGTAAAGATCCTTGTATACCTGTGCAAGCTTATTTCCTTTCGTGTTCTGGTTCACGCTATGTTTGGCACAGGGTCCAATCTCGATTGGTCGGCTTCCATTCTCTCGAAATGCTCGGCAACGAGTCAACAGACATTCGAGGAACATTGCAAGGCGCGTTGCGCGCACTGGGCCCGTGCAGAGAGGCAGAACAAACGTTGGCCTTATATGTGTATTCATCCTATACAATGTCTTTAAAAGAATCTTGCAGAGAGTGCCCAATTCCAGCAAACGACTTCAATACGGGATGGTCAGCGGTGCTCAAGCAGCAGTTTCCAGGAGGACATCCGTCATCGAAAGTAAGTCTCTGATTACTTGTGACACTTACAATGACGGAGATGATATCTATCCAGAGCTAAAAAATGCAAAACTTCCCGAATATACTCAAGATAGTTTTGCAGCGTCTGATCTCTTGTTGCCTAGTTCGGGTCGCACTATCTTGACTCATGGTACACTAAGGATGTGGCAGAGTACCGAGGGGCGTGAAGTCGTTGTGAGTGCTGGAAGCTTTGGCTTACTATTAATCCACAGTTTTCCTAAAATGCTAGCAGAGTATGGTCGTCGTCAAATCTCTGGACAGTTCATACGCTATCCATAGAACAAGAGGTAAGGAAGAGGAGGATAAATATAGAGATAAGCTGTTTTCTGTGAGCTTTTCCTAAAATCTATAAATCAGGTTTGCAACTTACTTATAATTCGATTCAGTACTTCGAAAGGGAAGTTGGCATCTGGTTACGTGCCCGATCACATCCGAACATCACCTCAGTCTGTGGATTCATCCCCTCTTATGGCGAAAAAAGCCTTCCGGCACTCGTATTCCCGTACTATCCCCTCGAAAATCTTCGCTTGTACGTTGACCGACAGGCCACTCCCCTGAGTGACAAATCGAAGCTTCTTCTTGTAAGTAACGCCTTTTTGTATATAATTGAAGAGCACTGATGGCAGTTAGCTATGCGATGTGGCACATGGTCTGAAATACTGTGAGTGGACTAAGTTACAGCTTTCTTGACCCGTTGCTAATCATCGATTAAGTACACGGTTTGCCGGATCCAATTATACATAGAGACCTCTCCGGGGTACGAGTTTTTCGCTGTGACTACTGAAGTTACATTGCAAATCCTCATGTAATCTTTTAGTCAAATGTTCTCTTGAAAGAGACTGCTTCAGAGATTGTCGCTTGTATCAACGATTTTGGGTCAGCAAAACTCATCGATCCAGCTTTGAACTTCGTATGTAGTTCATCACGACATACAAAATATAAGTGGCAGCCGCCAGAATATCTGAAATCCGGGACCTATCTTGAGAGCTATACAAACCCAAAGCCGTCGGGCGATATATGGTCATTTGCGTGTGTTGTACTAGAGGTATGTACCTGTTCGGCGTTTTTTATACACAGAGCCATAGTATTTTGTTGTAGATACTTAGCGAAAGCGACCCGTGGCCACGAAGTACTGATGTGGCTGGCGAGCTCCGAAAAGGCAAACATCCGCCATTCCCTAACAAAGAATTCGAGAAGAAATTCGGGGATTTTCTTGAAGGGTGCTGGGGCTGGAAAGCTGGGAAATCTTGGCCAAAATTGCGGTATACAGCCGAGAAAGCAGTTTCGAAGCTAGATAATCTTATTAAGGCAGAAGGTTAGCCCGTGCGTACATGGCTGCAGTTTATGAACAATGTTCAATTTGTGCGAGAACATGCGAAAACATGCTTGTCTGAGTACGTTGAGAAACATAAGTTGTAACTACTACAACAAGCAGTAGTACGGCTGTCTTGCCTTTACTGCATTTCTGACTTACAATAACATTGTGTGTATTATGAGAACTGCTACAGATAAATAGATGAATTGCCGGATAATGGTACAGGTCATATTATCTAGACATAGAAGGAATGGGAGGATGATTGGCAATAAATACTTTAAGCTCGAGAAGAACCTTATTAGCACAGGGGCGCTTTGTTGGATCGCAGGACCAGAGACCCTTTAGCAATGCAGACATGTATGCCTTTGGATGCGTCTTTGCCGTCGTGAGTATCACAGCCCTCAAACGAAGCATTAGTCTGATGTATAAAAATTAGGTTTTATATGATCAATCTCTGTATAAGGACACCGGGAAGTCTGCAAGCGAACTGAAAAAAGATAATACGCCACCTGTTGAGAGGGAGTACATCACTGATCCTAAACATTGGGCCTCTCGTGAGACCTGCAGACTGCCAGCAGCCTTAGGATCAAAGAACTCGGGAGCACAATAGTATTCGTGTCCTCCTTGAATGTTTGCACTGACAGAAATGCGGTTATGACCCAAGTCCTCCATCAGGTCAGCACTGCCAAAATCGGCAAGCACGGCAATACAGCGACGCGGGAATGGTGTGCTCTTAATGAGAATGTTATCCTGAATGGATGTTAGATAAAGCTTTCTGATATTATGACAACAAGACTGGTTCACTGGGCTCAGATCACCGTGCGCACAGCTCCTTGCGTGAACTAGAAGTATGGTAAGTGAATAAACTATTACCAGCTCACTAGGGCAAACTTACGAAACTCAAGGCCCGTAACAATGTCATGCATCTTGGGATCATCTCACCGTTAGGATATGATAACACGAAAGACGTTTCTATGAAACAGATAGCGCACCAGATCCAACTTCTCCCTTAAGTTTAGTTCTTTTTCGCTCCGGTATGTGTGTAGATTCTGATTGCAGACATCCATTACAAGGACAGGATAAGGAGACTTGCCAATTGTGGCGAAACCAACAAGTTTGTTGATATTTCTGCATGTCGTTGCGTCGATAGATTTCCATACCTCTGCCTCCCGTATGATTCGCTAGATTCAATAATGGTAAGTGTTAAAACGCCCGAAATGAAGAGAAACGCACATTCCAGTGTTGCTTTTCATCAGCTGCTCCGTTACGTTTATTAAAGATCTTTACAGCAAACTGCGAGTTGTCAATCAGTCTCTGAATGCAGCAATATGATTTTATCCATAAGCTTACCTCCTTGGAGTGACTAGGAGAGAAGAACCTTTTGACAGTTCCAGAGGCACCATTACCAAGAAGGTCGCTAGATGTTTCATCAAGGTCAATTTGGTCGAGCTGGAGTCTCTTAAGATCTACTCGGAAATTAGGCACGATTAGAAATTATGAGTTTGGGGTTGGAAACTTACCTTGAATTGAAAATGCCAGAATGTCTTCACCCCTTTTCCTTGCAATTGTTTCATTTGCTCGCAATGCAATGCTACTGCCGATTTTCCTCAATGAGCGTTCAAGCTCAAATACGTCATGTACAAGTCCAGAATTTAATATTTCCTCTCTTCCTTCATTGGAAATACTCAGATCTAATAGAAACTCAGAAAATGCGCAAAAAGGCATAGGAGAAATACTTTCCTTGATTCGAAATATCGTACTTTGTATTAGTCTCCCGCTCCTCGCACGCCAGAATCTTGCTGCCCAAGGACTGAATCATGTCAATTGTACAGGTTGCACTTTAGGGATGGCAAAATACTTACAACTATGGCATTTCCTATGTACGAAATTACTGAGTGAGCCTCTCCCAGTAATCCAGGTTGATCTTCTTTCTGCGCCCATTGAGAAAGAACAAAGATAATCCTGGTAAACAACTTGAGTACAGAATGAGGATATATGATTAGTTTACATACGGCACGAAAAGCTCAACACAACGGCGGACTCTGTCAACTTTTTCTGGGTGTTGATCAATGAGATAAATTATGGTGATGGAAATCGATTGGCATTCAGCCACACATGCAGAGAAGGACTGAGATTCGGTATCGTCAGAATAGTCCTTGGTTGATAAAGAAATGTCTCAGTATTAGCGTTAGAGATCAGATGTCTGTAGTAGAATCTGGAAAATGCTTACTCTTCTGGAGCACGCATCCAATAAGAAAACCATTTTCCTAGCCATTGCCCTCATGTCATTCCAGACAACCGTCTCTGGTTCAAGAGCAATGTGTTTTTATTCACACCAAAAATACAATTTTACCCACCTCGACTTAGCTTGTCCAGATGTGCCTCGCGCCACCACTTAAAAAGCATAGCATGTGAGTGGCCAAAGTATTCCAGGAGATGGGAAATTGTGTTGGAAATGTCGCTTGTTTCATTAGATTCCGTAGTTGGCTCAGCCGATACATCATTCTCAGAAGAAAAACTAAGCACCCAAGTTCCGTTGAATGAATGTGCTGTTTTTAGTTTATGAATAAGAGATAGATTAGGCTGAAATGCAATAGGAGATAAAATTTCGGACTCGGTGCGCTGACGCGTAGTTTCCTACTCCCAGAGATTCAGCGCTTTGAAAGAATAGTGGAATAAGGCGGAAAAACACACAGCAACAAGTTCAAGTGCGTCATCAATGTCACGATACAGCTGCTTTGCCTCGTATGTGTTGCCACTCCTACCAACCCAACGTCTACACCTTGCAAAGAAGCTAGCCTCACAACCCTGTAAATAGTTGGCTCGCCGATTCGTAACTCTGAAGTATGATGCGAGCAGCGGTCCTTCAGTTTTAGCCTTACATCCGTGGGGTTTGTGTACATACCTTTTAACTTCAACACGTATCTCTGCAGTTCTTTGGTCGTTTGAGTTGGCAAGGAGATTGTCGATTGCAATGCCTTCAGCATTTTCAACGATTTTCTCCAGCTCCTCAAATCGCTCGTGCATCTTCTTTTCGTTGCTCTACCACGTGGCAAGTTTAGCTTCTCTAGTGTAAAGCATGTATGAGGACATACGCACAGTGCCATACTTCATCTTGACTACTCAGTGTAGCAGGTCGTGCGGCGGAGACAAAGGAAATGACCAGGCATCCTTATAAAGAGATCTGAACCGAGACAGATTCACACAGGGATAGCAACCGATAGTATAACACACTGTTCTGGTTAGTACTCTATTGTTTCTTCGTGCTGACCCTATCAGAACGACTAGAGTGAGATCATGTGACTGTCGATCTACACACATACTTTCTTTGTTCGCTACACGCGTTGCCTTTCTCCAATAATGACTGTTCGCGGAGACGAGCCCTTGGACCCCCCTGAGGATGATGAGGAGCTGACGCCCTCTGAGAAATGGTGGAGGGACCACTACGAACTGCTTGAAAAGCATGGTTATCGCTTACGTCCACGTTATCGACCAGAATGGACTCCGTCTTGGAAGGGCACGGGAAAGAACCCTCTCCGCTTCGAGGATAATATCTGGAACAAAGTATGAGGCTTTCCATCATTATTCCTCCATGCATTCTCTTGACTGTAGTTCATGGCTTAGACACGCCATGTAATTGACGCTACCTGTGTAAAGGACGCGAAGACAGTTTCCATAAAGCGCATCGCACGGAATTCTCCAGAGTTGTCCATCGCACTCTACTTGTCGGATGTAGAAGGGTCAGAAACATCTATGAATCATTGTGTCCCAATTCTCGATCATTTTAGCGATTCACAATTTGCATTCCTTGTAATGCCAGTGCTTCGCTGGTTCGATGACCCTCCATTCTTCTCCGTCGATGAAGTCGTTGACTTCGTTCGCCAAACTTTGGAGGTAAGCCAGCCACCTTGAATACCTTTCCTCAAATTTTTCTTGACGTAAACAGGGCCTCAAATATATGCACAGTAAAGGTGTAGCTCACAGGTAAGCCCTTTTGCTGTTGCCACATTCTCGCATTCAATCTGGGTGTTTCAAGGGATTGTGCAAAATTAAATATAATGATGGATGCGACAACAATGTATCCAAAAGGGTTTCATCCAGCAGCAAAGCTGATGGATCCCTCGGGTGTAAAGCCGGCACCTGTACGTCGTCGCCGTGACGTATCAGGAGTCAAGTACTGTTTCATCGACTTTGGAATTTCTACACGCTTTGATCCTAACGTAAAGGAGGATGAACGGCGCGTTACTGGCATAGACGGCTTAGATCGTGATGTTCCAGAGCTATCTGCTAATATTCCGTACGACCCGTTTGCAGTCGATGTTTTTATTCTTGGGAACGTGTACCGGAAAAGTCTCCTCAACGTGCGTCCTTAACTCTTCGTTAGAAATGGTTGGACTTGACACCAGAGTTCCTAATTTCTATTAGAAATACGTCAACCTTGCTTTCTTAACGAGTTTGGTGGATTCCATGACCAGCAAATACGCTGAAGATAGACCGTCTGCTGCGCAAGCATTGGATCAGTTCCACAATATCTTGAAATCCCAGTCTCGTATTCTCCTCAGGTGGAGGCTCAAAGAGAAAGATGCTGGGTTCGTGACACGTATATTCCAAGATATTGGTTCCGTTACACGGGAAGGAATTTTTATTTCAAGGACAATCATCAGTAAGAACTTTTTTAGATGGACAAGCAAATTGCTGACTTCTAGTCTTGGTGTTTGCTGTTGCAGACTTGCCTTTGAAATTATTGCATAACTAATGCAGTTGAATCTTAATGCGGGTTTTAGCCCAGTAAAATTGCAGTGATGTATTCCTCCAATATATAATTTTTTTTCATAAATACATAACATTTTCCCGACAAGTTCTTGTTATTTGCATGTGTCATTGTTACTGAGACATAGAGCTATGGGACGATATCTCCGCGAGAGCCCTCATGATTTCTGTGCTTGATGTAAGGCCGTTTGTTGTTACACGAAACCATACCAGTATATTTAGCCATATATATATATGTATATGTATATGTATATGTATATGTATATGTATATGTATATGTATATATTCGTTCAATATACGCCTAATGCGGAAATATTGGACCTTGTGGACGCGTGTAGGACCTCATATCATCCTTACCTTTCAGATAGCCGTTCTTTATTTCCGTCAAACGTGCGACCACGTTATATTGCTCCTCGTAAGTCACGCAGAGAAAATGCGTCTTCCTAGACTTACCAGAACTTAGATCACCCATGGGAGACCTGGTCTCGTCGGTTTTGGCTGTACCGGCTTATGTCGAAGGATTCGTAAAAACTGCTAGGGTGGTGATCAAATACAAGTCAATTTCGGAGGACCATGTGGAGACTGTCGAGGATGCCATGTTCTGCGCAGAGACTCTCAAATACTATGCAGGCTTCGTGAATATCAAAGACGAGAATATTCTCAACCATCCGTCCGCCCCACTTTTGGAAGAAGCTCTTCTTCACGCAAAAACTGCGTTGGAAACGGCAGAGCGAATTCTCCACGATTGGACAGTAAAACTCAAGCTCTATCCGAAATCTCAAGGAAGGATGATTCTAGACAAGCTGGCTTCCTCCATCGCTGAGAAGTTTGCTCAAAGCAAAAGCGATGGTTCTGGCGGCGATCGGCGGAAAAATCCGCTGAGCAGGATAAAGCTACTTCAAGAAGCATCGTACCTTGCCTTTGGCGTAATCGAGATCAAGGATGCTATGAAGAGGCTCAACAAGTGGATAACACGCCTGGAACATCTTCTCCTCACGTCTCCAAATTTGAGGTTACGCACGGAAATCGTAGACTCGGACAACAGTCATGGAGACAAGCAGGACGATGTTGCATTCGTTGCTGCGGCGCGTAAACGGGCGAAATCCGAAATTCCAGTCACTACCATCGATGCTGCAGCTCTAGAGTCCGCCTTCGACATCGATCCGAGTCATAATTCTGGGATCCACCGGTTGGAGGACGGTGACTACTCTGGGTGTATTGTCGACTTGCGTGACATTCAGATACGACCATTTACACCAGACATGATGGAGGAACAACGTGATACCTTGAACATCTGCAGGCTTTTCGCCGAAGCACCGTCAGACAGCGAATACCGCACTCGAGCTACCGTCGGCATCCTTCCTTGCCTTGGCTATGCTATTGCAAACGCAGGGAAGAACCACTATCTATTTTTCCGTCTTCCGTCCGGAACAGGTACGCCCCGTACACTGCGCAGTTTGTTATTGTCTGGGCCAGCTGCACATTCTATCAACGCACGTCTCGACTTTTGCATCAAGCTTGCGACGTCCGTACTCATCGTCCAATCGCTCGGACTTGTTCACAAAAACATCAGGTCGGATGCGATCCTTGTTACAACACCGCTCAGCACTTTACGGGACAATAAGACTCTAGGGACGCCCTATCTGATTTCGTTCGGTCAGGCCCGTTTGTCCGCGGGACCTTCCGATCTAAGGACATATGCCGGAGCATCGCTCGCGATGAACCTGTACATTCATCCACGACATCTAATTTCATATAAACGAAAGAAATTTCAAATGCGTGACGACATATACAGCCTGGGAATCTGTCTCCTCGAGGTTGCGATATGGAGGTCTCTTCTGATATGGGACAGTGAGAACGATGGATTTGTGTTCGATCACAGCGTTGTGGACCTTTCTGACGATCATTACGAGGAAATTTTGGAAAGTCGAGGCCATTCGACACAACACGATAAAAGCTGGCTCCGACGTTTCGACTTGATGGAGTTTGTGCAAAAGACCGTACCTATCACGATGGGTGACACATTAAAGGATATTATTCTTAATTGTCTGACGTTTGGGGAACACGACACGCCGTCATACGACGCGACCTTCGACGTTATTCAAGAGACCGATACGCAGGATGACAGGGCCGATCAGCAAAGCGTAATGTTCGTGCAGGACATCCTAACCAAATTGCGCAGTTTGTCATTTGCAGACACAGAGAAGACCGGGTAACCACGGCTTGCAGAATAAAATCATACGTGAAATGGGAATAGTTTGTATTGTACTCCACCGCAATTCACTGCCCTTTGCATCCCTCCCCTAAGCGCTGTCAGAACCTGGACGCCGCCCGCGTACGTTCGAAAACGCTTCTTGTCCGAGAATCCCAGGTCGCCGTTTTCATGTAATACAGCTATCGTCAATGAGCACAACCTTGTGCTTGATTAAATTTGGATAATTTCAGGCTAGGGCTGCACCATCCTACTTTGCGTGGCATGGGAAAGCATTGGTTCTGAACAGGGCCACGCTCTTGTACTCAACTAAGCGAGGCCAAAGGGCAATTGCAAATCACACCAAGCTCTATCAGGCAACACGGAGCGTTGTTATTGTTTCCTCGCGGATGCAAATAAGTACACTAACGGAAGTAAAAATAACCTAGGAACCTGGATGCGTGGGGCGATGTCTTGTTGGACATCGTGGGTCCGACGCGTATCCAAACAAGGCCCATCCAAGTACCAAAGCTGGACAGGAGGCTGTTACTGAAAAAGACCTTAATAGTTCCGCAGACGCTTTGTAAATTGCTGCTTACACAACAATCAAAGCGGCAACATACATTATGCATGTCCGTGTCTCGTCATAACATTCTCAAATCAAAAATAAATCGTAAGGAAAGCCATAATGCCAGTGCAAAGAGGAGAGGAAAGGAGAGGAGAGGAGAGGAGCGACTATTTTGGAGTATTTTGGACGTCAGGAACGAAGCCCTATCACTGTCAGCCAAGCTCATGTAAACTGCGAGAGCAGTGCAAAGTGAAGAGCTTTCAGAGACTCGGCGACTGTAGAAGACTCTGCAAAGCAGTTTCGAATCTGTGCTCTAAAGTAAATCTCTCACGATATGGACCGAAATTTCCTGCTTTTTAATTTGGCAACCTGTAACGTACTCAGCGTCAAATCCAAGTAGCAGAGAGCATTAGACACACGGATATGTTATGAATGGATGAAGAAACGTGCTTCTGAGTGGTAGGTGTCTCCTAATCCACAGATAGAAGCGCCCTGTACATCCACGGAAGACGTTATTCATTGGGCAAACGGCTGGTTCCTTAAATATGCTGGACGATAAGTCCTTCGAATGAGAGCTTCGGAATCCACGTAGACATAGTCCGCTCTGCTATTTGGGACAGTAAGATAGTCATGAACATCTGGATTGAATATCCCAGTTGAAGCCTCTCTGCACAAAGTATAATGATGTTGTCTCCTGAAAGCCTTTGAGCAGTTGAAAGTGATTCAGGCAACTGACTACCTCAATAATTTAGAGATAATAGAACTCATGTAGTTCAACTGTTTATCGGAGGCATTCTGGAAGAACTTCGCTCTGTTTGACTCTGTCAAGGCGCTTGACGACTATCTCTGCGGTTGTCACTGTCAGAAAAGGAAATACGATTCACGAAGCGTCAACGTATCAAGGAGAATAAAATATTAAAAAGCCGAATAGATTCTCCCAAGTGCAGTGGTATCTAAACCGCCATTGATCTTCCGCAAAGACAAAGAACTCCGGGTCTAGAGTTTTCAAAACGTCAGTCATGGCGGTGCCTTGTTCCCGGTCATCGTGATTGAACAGCTTTTGTGTAGCCAGCTGTTTTATAGAAAACGGAGATAGAAACGCTCCTTGTGCGACTGGATCTGGTGTGGCATCCTTAGTTGTATCGGCAAAATGTGACTTCGACTTGAAGAGATCAAGTCGAACTACTAGTTAGTCGAGTTGCTGTAACAGAGGGAGTGCATCTGCGACGATCGAGGATCACAGAGAGCGAGTGGCATCGTAAGTAGACGAGTTCGAGGGCCTTTGTCGCCACGACATTCAACAGTTTCACTTCACACAAAGGAGTGAAGACCGATCAATTAGCGAGATTGAGGAGCAGAAGAGGGAAAGGTGCGTACATCTTAAGCAAATCCGAGAATAGATCCAAGGGGTCATTTGAGGGATGGAGAAGCATCTATTGGGTACAGTAAGACCTACCTCTTCACAGCACACATTTCATCCTTATGCGTGAAACCTTAAGCAGCAAGCTTGCTTTCATCAACGATGCACGACTACTGGAAGAAATACATTACACGATTAGAAAACGAGCCTGGCCGACGATGCTTTGAGAAGGACGACGCGTGGACGTCACCAGTACCAAAACATGCTGTCAATGTCATGTGACACTCCAAGCAAGCAGCCGAATTGTCCATGTTCTAGTAACCGTTCTACTTATCTCGACCAAAGGACAATTGCAAACCTGACAAGTCTATATACCGGCTGTACAAGAATTGTTCCTTGTTGTTTCTAGGCGGAAGAGAGGCGGATCTAAACACATGGAAACAGTATCGACTGGACAACGTGGAAGCATAACGGCGAGAATGATTTCCAATTTCGTCAATTACCAAATAATATATTAGCAATAGTACATGCATGAAACGACAGGAACACGCAAGGCTCTCAAACATGTGAAACACGTTGTACCTCTAATCAATGCACATGCATCCAGAAACCAGTCCCTTGGTGATTGTGACACCTTTTTCTTCCTTTTGTCCGATCAACTGCGAAAAACTCATTGCCGAATATGGTAATATTGGAACATGTGTGTATTTGTTGGACCTTGTGTTGTCGATCATTTTGGTCCTCGAAAGGGAATTGACGATCGCGCTTGTTGTTCCAGTGATATTTGTGCGTGTTTATGTGTTTGTGCAATGGTATGGGAAATTCGCTTGGACCAAGGACCTGCCTTGTAAAACATCCTTGTATACCTGTGTAAGTATCTTTATTTCCGGGTTTTGGCTCACGCTGTGTTTAGCTCGGGGTTCAATCTCGATCGGTTGGCATCTATTCTCTCGAAACGCTCGGCAATGAGTCAACGGACATTCAAGGAACATTGCAAGGCCCGTCGCACACACACTGGGCCTATGCAGCAAGGCAGCATAGACGTTGGCCTTATATGCGTACTTCATCCCGTGTAATACCTGCAGGAGATTCATCTTGCAAAGCTTGCGCTCGTAGGAAGCGACTCCAATACAGCATGGCTAGCGGTGCTCAAGCAGCAGAATCGAGGAGGGCATCAGTTATCGAAAGTGCGTAGCTTTCTGATTATTCGTCACGCTTACAGTGACGGAGATGATATCTATTCAGAGCTAAAAAATGCAAAACTTCCCGAATATACTCAAGATAGTTTTGCAGCGTCTCGTCTCATCTTGCCAACCTCAAGCCGCACGATCTTGACTCATGGTATGCTTAGAATGCAGCGGAATGCAGAGGGGAATGAAGACGTGAGTGCAGGAAACTTCGGCTCGCCGATCTACTAATAACTGTCTTTAATCCAAGCAGAGTGTAGTTGTCATCAAGTCTCTTAATGGTGCGTATGCCACTCACAGGACGGGGGACAAGGCAGAGGAGGACAAATACAGGAATAAGCTATTTTCCGTGCGCTTTTCTTGAAATCTGCAATCCAGTATCGGATTTACTGATGATTTGACATAGTATTTCGAAAGAGAAACTGATATCTGGATACGTGCTCGATCTCATCCGAATATCACCTCACTCTGTGGATTTATGCCCTACTATGGCATGGATAACCTTCCGGTCCTCATATTTCCATTTCATCGTCTCGGAAATCTTCGCATGTATGTTTACCAACACGAAATGAGCAGCAAATCGAAGCTTCTTCTTGTGGGTAACGCCTTTCTTGTGTAGTATTGGAGAGTACTAATGGTGGACAGCTGCGAGATGTAGTGCATGGTCTCAAACACTGTGAGTAAACCGATTCACGTTATTCTCGAGAGATTTACTAACGATAGATCAAGTACATGGCCTACAAGATCCAATAGTGCATAGGGACCTCTCAGGGGTATGTGTATTTTCTGTAATTACCTACATCGCGTCGCAATTCCTTACGCCATCTTCAGTCGAATGTCCTCTTGAAAGAGACTCCCACAGGAATCGTCGCCTGCATCAACGACTTTGGATCGGCAAAACTGATCGATCCGGATTTGAACGTCGTATGTAGCTCAACGCAAGCTACCAATTACAAGTGGCAGCCGCCGGAGTACGTGAAGTCCAAGACTTTTCGTGAAAGTTATACAAATCCGAAGCCGTCGGGTGATATATGGTCTTTTGCGTGTGTTGTACTAGAGGTACGTATCTGTTAAATCTTAGTCATTACACAGTACTGCAACATTTTATTATAGATACTTACTGAAGGTGATCCGTGGCCACGAACCGCCGATGTAGTGGTAGAGCTCGAGAAGGGTCACCATCCTCCGTACCCTAACAAAGACTTCAAGAAGAAGTACGGGGACTTCCTTGAAGGCTGTTGGAGATCTTCGCCGGGCAAGCGATATACTGCTGAGAAAGTGATATCAAAACTGGATAGTCTTATTAATGCAGAGAGCTAGTTCGATGTAATGATTATGTGACAAAAGTAAATTCGCCTCTAAGCTGTGTTGCTAAAGAGAAAGAAAGCTAGCGTGCTGCTGCTAGTCCTTGAGCAGGTCAAAAACTATGATGGTGTAGATTGATTGTCCTTAATTATGTCGAAATAGACTAGTGATGTGAAAACCAATGCATTTTTTACTAACTCTTGAGCGGCACAAAGCTGTATACTATACATTATTTTGACATACTATAGCACTGAAGACAACAAACGGAAGAGACTTAGAGATCATTGGACCGACAATCTATGATGAATTCGTCTATTTCTGAGAGGACCTTTTCTGCTTTCAACCGCTCAGCTGGGTCTGTACTCCAAAGGCTTTGGAGCAAAAACCAATACTTTTGCTTTGGCCTTGCTATAGACGACTTTACAACAGGTAGCTTTCCCTCTTTCTTCAGCGTCTCCACTGGCCTCCCTGGCTGAGCATAAAGAGAAAGTTCACACACAATCTAACAGCTTTTGTCAGATTACTGCTGTACTTGATTGGCCAGGCAACTCACCACTGCAAATACACAACCAAATGCATACATGTCTGCCTCCTTTGAGACTTTTGGAGACGCACAATTCTTCTGCTTGAATAGCTCAGGTGCACAGTAATGCTCGTGGCCCCTTTGAGTGTCTGTACTTTGTGATATACAGTAATAGCTGGAGCTTTCTGTCATATTGGCAACTCCAAAGTCAGCAAGTACAGTTATTCAGCACGGTGGTAATTGTGAGTTCTTGACAAGAATGTTTTCCTAATGTAATGTAAGTCAAAAAAATACTTCCTTTGAAATGGGTTGTACGTACCAGCCAAAGATCACCATGTGTGAATCCATTTTTATGAACTGTGGTGCTGCTATTCAACAAGAGAAACAATAAGCAGTGTATTGGATGATGCACAAAAGCTAAGTCCAGTGACCATGTCATGCATCTTGAAACAAATGCATAAGAACATTGCAAATCACACAATTGGACAACATACAAGATTTAGTTTCTCCTTGGTATTGATTCGTCTTGACCTCCAGTAGCTATCCAAACTCTGCTTGCAGATACCCATTACAAGAACTGGGTAAGGAGAGTCTTTTATCAAAGAGAAACCTTTGAGTTTGTTGATATTTCTGTACTGTTCTGTCTTTATATTAGTCCATATCTCTGCTTCTCGGGTAATTCGCTGAACAGTGTTTAAAGCATAGACAAATAGCTAGACAAAAGAGGTACTCACATTATAATGTTGTGTCTCATCAGCCATTTCACTGCATCTATTAAAGATCTTAACAGCATACTGTAGGTAGGCACACTATAAAAATCCTATACAAAAAAGTAGCACTGGAAGAAATACCTGCTCAGTAGTATTGAGAGTGTGAAATTTCCTGACTGTCCCAGATGCACCAGATCCAAGAAGCTTGCTAGATGTCTCATCAAGATCAATATAATCTAATTGAAGACATTTAAATACTAAATGGAGTTAGTTTGCAGTATCATCCTGTCTACATAATGTTCTGACCTTGAGACAAAGATTTCCTTACAGTCATTTCCTTTGCTTCTGCTGTAATGCAATCCCTAATTTGTCTCACCATCACAAAAAAGTCTTAAGTATTATACTTGCTTGTAATCTTGTATATTTTTTATATTTTATAAAATTTGTCCAATTACTTATAATCTTCCTGGAGGGTTAAGTAATAACAGTACAATGTTAGATAAGTAAGTAAGAATACTTTTAAAACTTGGCAATTTCCATTATAATTTTATAAATTGTCAAGTTATAAAAGTGATTATAACACTTTCTAAGATTACAAGACTAAGACATACTTATTTATTTGAGAAAGTATAATATCTGCTTATAATGCTTATAAGTCATTACAAGCATTTGAATCGCTTCCTTTTGCTTCAGATACAATTTTTTATCAAATAATTAATAAAATATAATTATATTTAATTATTTAATACAAAATAATAAATGATACATTATTTCTACAGTTCTAACCCCTGCACCAGCAGCAGCCTCTGCCTTGTTCTTTCGTGAGTAGAATTCGTGTCAGAAAAGGATGAACACATCCTTGGGCCGTTTGATGTAGTCTTCGTCACCACGTTTGGTCGTCACTCGGGACCTGTGAGTCAAATTGTGTGTGTGTGTGGGATGAGGTCGAGTGGGTTGTGGAGGTTGAGGCTGCACCTGTTAGACAGGTTTAGAGTAGTTAGCAAGTGACAATAGGAGATAAAAGGTGGACGTACTGCGACAGCGTGCAGCAAGTGTGAGTGGTGCATACAGGTTGAGATCCGGAGCGTGAACGAGTTGATTCAGGCTGCAGACAAAGCCGTATCAGTATGCATATGATTATTATTCTGACTGACGTGCAATTGGAGGAGCAGTGAACTGAGTCGTTTTT